CGGTAATGCCAACTACACATACATTCAATCATCCATAACAAGCAATGTAGATAATAACAACAATACCGACATCGATAGCATTGAAACTGAACAATTAGCGCCAGTTACTGAATTCTGCACAGATACTATACGATCTGCTTCAACAACCAAACACTCCTCAACAACGTCCACGGCAACAACAATCACTCCCAGTCATAACACGAAATACAACGACAAACGGAATACGTCAATATTCTCTAACATTAGTAAATCTAAATTTGCAACTACATCGCGCACATATTCCATTGCATCTAAATTAGGTTCATTATTGAATCAGAAGAGCCACGGATCACAGGTCGTTAAGGGATGTAGTGCTAATGATGGAGACCCTGTAAAATATTCTCCTGGGGTCATTGAGACTTTAGCACTTAGAGCTGGAGTTAGTGGAAATTGGCAAGTTGGATCTATATATGTATAGAGTAGATATTATACTCGTGATTGTGTGGACTTTCATGTCCAAGGATAATAGACATTTTCTTTATGAGAGATGGGGCATTTAATTATATAATAACATGCAACAACTCATTTCACACATTAATTTCAAGTTTGCTTTCTATTCTCTTGTTATTCAATATTAGTATTTCAACTTATAATTACTTATACACTTGTTGTAAATTCTTTCTTGTACATAACCACACCACATAAATCAAACAAAAAGTTGTCTCTTTTAATAAATGCATTGGCATTAAGGCAAATATTTGAGTGCTGCAAAGTCATGTCTGTCGATCTTAATTGGTACCGATAACTTAGTCGCTTCGTAATATTCATTGACAAATGAGAAATTAATAGATCTTTCATGTAAGCCTTACTTTCTACGCGTTCTTTTAGTGTCACCAGTTTTCCCATTTTTAATGATTATATCACTATAAATTCCAGCATGATAATGCCCCTATCCATGGATCGCTGGGTAGATTGGCCCTCTCTGACATCAAGGGACACCAAAATCCCAGTTGAATAAAGGCATTCGTTTAAACTAAACTTCATGCTTTGACGTTTACTTACGCCCATAAATTTCAACCTGGAATATATAAGTCAAAAATACTGCTGGAAAAACCCTTTATATACAGTGTGTTACAAAAAAAAGTGAAATTTTTCTTTTATAATATAAAAAGTATGACGGAATTAGATAAAAGGTTACAAATATATGTATTTTATACAAGAAACAAATTTACTTACGGTAATTAATGAGTTATTTTATCTAATTTCAGAAATTCAAAACTCAAAAATTTTGTTATTACTTGTATAAATCCATTATTTTTACATAAAAAATTTTTCAAATGTGTTCTCCATGTTGTTACAAACGAGTTTACTTAATAAAGTTACTTAATTAAATACCTTGGTTTTTTGTTTTTTTTTTTTTTTTTCAATATTTTTTCCCCAATATTAATATTTATAAATTCTGGACAATTCGGTTTTTTCACCTTTTCTTGTAACACTAAAACGAACCGTAGAACGCTGCCATAACTAGTTATAATTAATAAAACAAACATCCCGGTTAAAGAAGTTAATTAAAATACCACCATTTTGAGGCTCATGGAATGTAAAAAACCATGGTACTATGATCGGGTTGTTACACGAAATACTTGTACTTTGATTCGGATAGTGGTACTATACTTAGGGGGACTATGATAGGACTATGTAAATATTTATTTAAACAGATTTTGCATCTTACGAAACACGATGAGAAAAATAATTCGAAGCGCTACTTTACAACCACCCCGTAAAATACCATGCCAGAATCCGGTCATATTTTACGGACGTGTTTGCCAGTAACTTTTGTATGAGCAGCCGGTGAGATGCGTCATTTCATTTAGTTATCAAAATTATGGTTTCTTAAATGAATGCATAACTCAGTAATTGAAACCTCATCTAAATATACAGTGCCCTGACAAAAGTGAGTGATCACCACAAAATTTTGCAGATCAAACGTTAAAAGTTGTTCATATATGAAGTAAATATTTTACTAATACACTCGGCCATGATGCAATAAGTAAACTTATTTACAATATCTATGCGCATGTAATTTGTAAGTTTCACTGACTTTGTATAAATATTAAGCGAAAAATAATGGCTTACGTCGAAGATAAAGATTTTCGAAAATCTATGTTAAAACGGTAGTTATAATGCTATTTTCAGAAGTAATTGCAATGCGTCCTTGCATTTTTAAGTAAAAAGATTCACCATATTTTAAAACTTATAAATATAAATTTTCAGACGATTTGGTTTAGATTTCATTGAATACTAATCCCAAAAGTAAAATTTTCTAAAATTTGAGTCTTTGTAATTATATATCGTTAGCAGTTTGCTAGAATCCAGTCATAATTCACAAGAAGACGCGCATTGTTGTTGTTAATAACTTTTATTAGTACGTGTTTGTTTACTGACAAACGGGGCAAAAAGTTTTTATATAAGCAACCGGTTGAGTACAGTTATCCGATACTAAAATTTGTACTACTTTGTACTTGACAATTATATAAAATTTGGATATTTGCCTTATAATTTAACTTCTTATTCAATGAAATCTAAACCAAATCGTCTGAAAATTTATATTTATAAGTTTTAAAATATGGTGAATCTTTTTACTTAAAAATGCAAGGACGCATTGCAATTACTTCTGAAAATAGCATTATAACTACCGTTTTAACATAGATTTTCGAAAATCTTTATCTTCGACGTAAGCCATTATTTTTCGCTTAATATTTATACAAAGTCAGTGAAACTTACAAATTACATGCGCATAGATATTGTAAATAAGTTTACTTATTGCATCATGGCCGAGTGTATTAGTAAAATATTTACTTCATATATGAACAACTTTTAACGTTTGATCTGCAAAATTTTGTGGTGATCACTCACTTTTGTCAGGGCACTGACGATTTTGAATTGGTTAGTATTTGTTATATGTCATGTATAAATCCCGTCAATCCCGTACCACGATTTATCTCGTCAAAGTACCCCAAAATTGAGGAGGGTCCCCCTAAAAGATTTTTATCTCAATTGGCGGACTTCGGTGTCTGAATGTAAGATAAAGCCGTATCTAATAACAAAATATATAACTTTGTCGACCCAGTATTGTTATGTATATAATTATTGGCCATTATCTTGCAAGATAATCGAAAAAACAAATAGAAAGTATCACCAAGCACACCGTCCGTATCCGTCAATACAGCACTTTGGAAGTATATCATCTAACTCGGCTCCACGTCATTGCTTCCAAGAAATCCAACACACTTCATGATTATGACCAGCGAAAATTACGGACGTCATATTATTGTTATAGTGACTTGTACTAAATAGACTTCATTAATAGCTAGTCGTTTTTATGGATGTTTATTGCATATTAGAATCAAACATCAACGTCGCAAGATTATGATAATTACATAGTTCTAACGCAAATATGCATTTGTTCTGATCAAGTCAGTGACATATAACTGATTAATATTATTATTGTGTAAGCATGTTCTCAACAGCCAATCCACAATTTAGCTTCGGGTGTATACTTTTTCAGGTCATTGCTAATAAATATCCTTGTTAGATTAAACTTTCAATCCCTTGATATTGGAAACCTCCACACCATCATATTTAAATTACCCTTGATAAACCGAAGTTTGTGCAACAGTCGTTATATATTGTCTTGTTCTCATTGTATAAAGGCTATAATCGTTATACGCTTCTTGTACGACATTTATTACAAGTCGAGTTGAGTCTTCGCTAAATTTGTGATTGTACGTTCCAAATAATCAATCTATTAATTATTTTGTCACTAGAAAACAGTTGACACTGTCAACCAAGCTGACGGTCAAGAAACGAAAGCGTTCAATCGGAACGGCTTGTTACCAGTTCAGAGGCTTTAGTTTAGTTGGAATTGATAGCTTTTGGCATATATTGCACAGAAAAAATCTTGGATTGAGCACGTCAAGCAACGCTTGATGAATTTGAATTTGTAAATATTGAATACTCTTGAATTACGTGCGCGTAATAAAGATATAACGGAACTTCTTTATATAACAATGCGTATTACTATAATTAGATATATGTACGAAACCTGGATATAATAACGAATCCCTCGATATAACGAAGAAAAGTGTCTGCACCGTCTCCTTCGTTATCCGGTTTCGATGATGCCGTAAATTTATGCAGGAGAAGTTGTACAAAGAGTGAAAAGCTAGGAAAAACGATATTAGCATTCAACGTGCTAAAATAAAAAATAATACTATTTATTTATTAAAAAATTGCAACCTTCGAAATATATTTTATTCATTGACTGATCGATATAATCAGGATCTCAGACTTGGAAAGTTTGAATACATAAGTTGGTTGAATGCTAAAGAATTTTATGTGATATCGTTTTTCGTAGCTTTCACTCTTTGTATAACCTCTCCCGCATAAATTTACGGGGTTCACCCAGTTCAGAACTGGGTCAAGTTCCATTTTGGATGCATGCATGGATAAATTATGTTAGTCGATTTTTAATGTGGGAGATTAGAATAGACAGAACGAAGATCAAGTCTTGGAGGGAGCAGACATTGAATGTAAGCACAACTTGTCTTGTTTAACGCAGATCTCTAATGCTAGTATTTGATTATATTTTTTAGGAATGACCCGAAGTTTCTGTCTTTGACAAGATATAATCCAGCCATTCTCTGCCAGATTTTGCCAAAACTTCATTACAGCCGACGATTACCAATATCTCAGCATCGCATTTGGAGTGTGATTATGAAAATGGGTAGTTGGTGATTTGGGGCGCAAATTTGGTTTTTGATAATAAAGTTTTTCGCAACAGCAGTTAGAACCACATGATTTTTTTTTAGCATTACAATCAATACACAACTTTAGAACTTGCAGGCTATTTTTGTAATTATACAAGTATATCGAAAATATTAATTGGCATATGTATTTTCTAACCCGATTCAGTTAATGAAACAACTTTCCAGGTATGAGATGTTGAAGGTTCAACTTTTTCACGTTGTAGAAGTCGAGCAGAGACGAAGGTGCTTTTTTGTAGAAGGCATGGCAACCTCAACTATCATCTGAATATGGCTTGCAGTATTTGATCGATAGTTCTTGTCAACAATTTGATTTAACCCATCCTTGGCACTCTTTTTCATTTCATTGTGGCTTCCCGATTTAGCGAGCTTAAACTCAAAAATGACACAGGTATCAATTTTTTGGTTGACTGGGATGATGCGGACATCAGGACGACCATTTCCCAGTTTCACGATTGGATACGACCTGGTAGTCGCCACCGTGAAACATTGCAAGTGCCCCAAGGACAAACGTATGGTATCAACCCTCACCAATATCGTAACAGGAGACCATTTCCGCATAAAGAGCGGGGAATTGCTCGCAAAACATATTAATGTCTTTCTTGAATAGCGAGTTGAATATGCATGTCATTCGTCTTACCCGAGCTACGCCTATGATTTCGATGATCCACCGCCTCCATTGTTCAGCAACTTCTCTGTTTGGAATAATAAGTTGGACCTTTGTACTCCCCCACTGTTTGTTTGGAACAATGAGTTCAACATCGGT